TTTTTTTTTTTTTTTTATTTTTTTTTTTAATTTTTTTTTTTTTTTTTTTTTTTTTTTTCTTCCTGATAATAATATTAAGAATGCTTAATTATAATCTGAGTAATATTTGTGGTTGTTTTTATACGGGTGGTAAAATATTATTTAGTGATGATGGAAATTCTTTATTTGTGCCTGTAAGTAATAGAGTAAATATATATGATTTAAATAGCAATAGTTGTAATACTTTAAAATCAGAAAATAAAAATGATTTAAGATATATAGCAATTCATCCAAATATGGAAATAGCTATAACAATTGATAAATTCGAATATGGTTGTGTGATAAATTTATTAAAGGATCAAATTATTTCAAGGATTTTATTTAAATCAAAAACAGGTATTATAACTTCATTTAATTACAATAGCATTTTTTCACCCCAAGAAGAACAGGATTCAGTTAATTCTGCTTTATTTACTCATAATGGAAAATTTTTTTTAATTGGAATTGGAAGAAGGGTTATTATATGGAGAAGCCCTAATAAAAAAAATAATTATAGATTAATAAAATATAATGATATATGCTATCATTCCTTAAACATTATATCTATAGATATATCAACAGATGATAAATATTTCTTAACAACATCATATGATTTAACTATAAGAATACACACTGTAGAAAAAAAAAAAAGAATGAAGCCAACTATTTTAAGTGGAAACAAAACTACTATAGTTGCTGCATTTTTTTCAAAAAATAGAGAATATATTTTTAGTGTTAATAAATCGGGACTTATAATTGTCTGGTCATATGAAAAAGAAAAAAATGAAGTAAATGATCAAGAAAATGAAAACGAAAATGATGATAAAAATTATGAAAATGAAATTGTTGAAGTAATAAATGAAGATGCTGATAAAAATTTTGAAGAAAAAAATAATGCTAACGAGAGCTCCATTTTACTTAAAAAATCTTTTTATGAGACAAAAAAAAAAAAAAATAAAGCATTTAAAAAAAGATGGTGTTATAAAAAAATTTATTACTGTAATCAAGAGAAAAATGAAGAAGTTACTAGAGCTTGTTTTAATAAGGAACATGATTTATTAGTAATAGCTTATTCTAGTGGTAAATTCGGTATTTATAATACACCTGATATGATTTCACTTTACAATATTAGTATAAATACCTCTACTATTGACGATATTGCAATTAATAAAGATGGACAGTGGATTGCCTTAGCTGAATCAAATAATGGTACAATAATTATATGGGAATGGAAAAGTGAAAGTTACATATTAAAGCAAAATACGACAAATAAAAATGTTAAATGTGTAAGATTTTCTCCAATTATTAGCCATTTAAAAATAGGTAGCTACATTGTAGATAATTCAAATGCATATCATGAATCAGACAATTTCACCAGTAAATTCGTTATAGTAACAGGAAATGAAGATGGTACTATAAAATTATACGATTACCTGTCTTATATAAATTTTGTTACCTTTACTGCTCATACTAATACAGTCACAGATATTTGCTTTTTGCCACAAGGGAATGCCTTCATATCTTGTTCATTAGACGGTACTGTAAGAGCATTTGATTTACTAAGATATCGAAATTTTAAAGTTTACACACCAGATGTTATATCAGATGAAAATGGTAATACTTCCAGAAAAAAAGATATGAACAAATCAGTAAAAAATGTAAATAAAAAATTAAATGTTCAGTTTTTATGTGTGAGTGTTAATATTAGTGGAAATATTGTTGCAGCAGGTGGAAGAGGTAATGAATTTATTGTGTATATTTGGAATGTTCAAACAGCTAAATGTATAGATAAATTATTCGGTCATAATTCTCCTATAACTAAAGTATGCTTTAGCACTAATTTAAAAAATGAAGGTGTTATAGCTAGCTGTTCTTGGAGTAAAAGTGTTTTGGTTTGGGATTTATATGCAAGAAGAAATAAGGGAAGTAAATTCGAAGAAATTATGTGTTCTCATGATATTTCTTATATGTGTTTTGACCCAAGAGGAAATGATATATTAGCTGTTTGTACTTTAAGTTGCAAAATAATTTTTTGGGATATTTCAGCTCAAGAAATTATTGGTACCATTGAGGGAGCTAGAGATATTAAAAGAGGAAGATTAATAGGGGAAGAATTTTTAGCTATACCGAAAGTGAATAAAAAAAGAAAAAAAGGAAATGAATTAGAAGGTTATACATATATTGATGATATGGAAGAAGAAAGTAAAAACACTATTGTTAATCAAAATTGCTACTTTACATGTATTGATTATATCCATAATGGGAATTATATAATTGGATCTGCTAATTGCAGTGTTTCTTTATATATATATGATACTAATTTATATCTGTTAATTAAAATTATAGATTTAACAAAAAATTATTGTGTTGATGGTATAAAAAGAGAAATATCTACGAGATATTTAACGGCAGAAGGAAAGAATATATACGAGTTTGATTTAAGTGATGAAGAAGGAGACATTTATTTAGATAATTATAAAATTATTAATAGAAAAAAAAAACAAAGTATATTACCAGGACAAATTAATGAGAATTATTTAAACAGTAAATTTAAAAAATATAAATTATTATTGAATCATTTACATATATCAGGAGATGATAGACATATTGCTGTTGCTTGTAGTACTGGGTTATATGTGTTTACAAAAGATTTTCAATATCAGTTTGTACCAAATTTTAAAAATATTTACAAAGGTTTAATTAATCCGCTTACATATATTCCAAAATATTTAACTGAAAATGTTAATTTACAAAATTTAAAAAATTCGTTAAAAAAAAAAGAATATATGAAAGCCTTTATATTATGCTTAGCTTTAAATAATTATGAACATATATTAGAAGTGTATGAGAAAATACCTTATAATTTAATTCCTTTATGCGTTAAAATTTTAACAAAACCATTTCTATTTATTTTAATAAATTTTATTAAAACTCTTTTAATTAATGATACTATAAAACATATTCATTTGCATTTATATTATCTAAATTCTATATTTACAATTCATTTTAACATTTTTCTAAATAACGATTTTTATAATAGTACTAAAAGTAAGCAAATAAAAAAAAATAATGAAATTATTCAAAGAAATATTAGTGCAACTTCATCAGATGAATCAAGAGCTTCCCTTTTATTAATATTAAAGCAAATATTTACTGTTTATAATGGACTACAATATTTATATAGCAACAATATTAACGTATTAAAATTTTTATGTTTAAAGAATTAATTGAAAGAAAAAAAAAAAAAAAAATAAAATAAAATGAAAAAAAAATAAAAATAAAAATAAAAATAAAAATATGTTTGTATGAAATCAGAAATATGAAAAAAGTTTATAACAAGATAAAAAGATAAATATAATTATATTTTAAAGATACATATATCAACATTTAATTATGGTTCTTTATATAATAAAATTTACATATATATATATATATACTTATTTACTTTCTTATTAATTTTTTTTTAAATGATAAAATTTGTATCATTATACAATAAATGCTAATTTTTTTAAATTTAATGTTTTATGTGTTTATATACATACTAAAAATTTTTTTTGTGTATTTAACTTTTTTGTATGTATACTTTTTGCATATTTATAAAATATTTGATCTTTCAAATCAAATATTTATTTTATTGAAATATAAATATTTAATTTAAAATTAAAACATATTATGTCTTTTAATAAGAATTTTTCTTTTTTTTCTTTACATTATTAAACTTTTATAATAAATTTACAAAAATTTTTAATTTTTTAATTAAACTAAAAAAATCTTAAATTTAAATTTATTCATGGATGTATAATAAAATTACAATTTCTAATAATCTATTTTTTTTTTTTTTTTTTTTTTATTAGATATAATATTTAAATTTTTTTATATTTTAAAAGAACGTACAAAAATATTATACAGATAATATTTATACTATTAATAATATTGTATTATAAAAAAAATATATATATATATATATATATATATATATATATATATATATATATATATATATATATATATTGTGTTTTAAATGTTTATTATAAAAAGGAAAAAAAAAAAATACATTTTTTTCTAATTCGTACATTTACTATGTACAATAATTTAAAATATATAGGTACATATGTACTTTATATATATTAGTAATTTAATTATTTTTTTTGAATATCATCTAAAAGTGAATAAAAGATAATTTTCTTTTTACCTTTTTCTTATATGTAAGATATTTTAAAGACATTTTTATGTGATTATTTTATTATATACATTTTTTATTTCAAGGAAATATGTATATCTATTAATTATATTTCATTTTATTAATATCTTCATTTGTTTATGTTAACAAATCTCAAGTAATCTTTCTTTGATGGTAAACTTATTTTCTTAACTTCTTTTGTAAATAATTTTGGAAAATCTGATTCCTTAACAGTTGGTAGAACACAACATTCATCTCCATTGTTCCAATTAGCGGGAGTTGCAACTTCACAATTACTAGTTAGTTGTAGTGATTTTAGTACTCTTAAAATTTCTTGAATGTTTCTACCTGTTGTTGCTGGATATAATATGGATGCCTTAACTTTCTTATCAGGAGAAATGAAAAAAACACATCTGCATGTTAATGGTAATCCTTTGATATCTTTTTCTTTTTCATCCATTATTTTTAATTTATGAGCTAATTCTCTTGATTCATCACAAATTATAGGAATTTTCCATTCATCTAAATTTCCATAATATTTAATATCATCTATCCATTTCTCATGGGATTCTTTTGAATTACAACTAAAACCAATTAGTTTGCAATTTAAACTTAAAAATTGATCATATAATTTTCCAAATTCAGCCATTTCAGTTGTACACACAGGTGTAAAATCATTTGGATGACTAAATAAGATTGACCAACTATTTTCTACATATTTATAAAAATCAAAAACTCCATCTAAATTTGAAGCTGTTGAAGTGAAATTAGGAAATGTATCCCCTAAATGATAAGCCATTTTAATATATATATATATCTATGTAACTTTTAATTTTGTTTTTAACTTCTTTTTTAACTGTACACTTATCTTTCTTAATTTGCAACTTTCTCTTAATTTAAAATATATTCTACAAACATTAATAACTTTAAATAAATGATTTATATAAAATTACAAAAAATTATGGGAAATAGATCATTTAAAAAATACATTAACTAAAAAAGGAAGAAAAATTGTAATTAATGAATATTTTTTTTTTTTTTTTTTTTTGATCTTTAAGTATTTTAAATAAATGTATTTTATAAATACAAATTAAAAATTTTATGGCAGCTTTTAATAAAAAATAAGAAAATAATTAAAAATAAATATTTTAATACTTTTTATTTTTAAGAAAATTTTTTAAAACAATAGTTTACATTAATATATCATGTTGTGAAAAGTTAAATTCTTCTATTTTTAATTTAAACAAAATAAAATAAAAAATTAATGTTTTACTAATATAAATCACGGTGTAATTTCATCAAAATTAAAAAATCATTATATTAAAAAAATTAGAATTTAATAATGTATCTTATACATTTTGCATTGAAAAATTAAACTATATAAATATTTTATTAAAGAAAAAATTTAGCTTATATATCATATATACATATATATATATATATATTAGTTTTAATATATTTTTCTAAAAAATAGGAAAAATCATTTATATACTTTTATATTTTGATATATAAATTAAAAAAGAAATAAAATATATTAAGAACATTAACAATTTATAGATTATACCTATCATTATATACCAAAATTAAGAAATATTTAAAAAAATATATTTTTTTTAATAATGTTATAATTTAGAATAATTTAATAACATTGATTATATATATAATAGTACTATTAGTTACCCTATACAAGATATATATTTAATATTTTCTTAAACTAATTTTTAACACAAATTATTTATTTGCATGTCTTATAGAAAAAAAACGAAAAATAAATAATAAAGAAATATAAATAAAATATTTAATTTGAACATGATGAATAACTAAAATTTATATAATTATATATGGAAGAAAAAAAAAAAAAAAAAATTGTTTTTTTAATAGAAAACATAATAAAAATAGTTCAAAAAATGTAGTTAAATAAGAAGGTTCATAATAGTTTTATAGAAATTTAGGAAAAAGAAAAGTTACTTTTTTTTTTAGAATTTATAAAATAACGAAATACTTATGTTCATATAAACATTTTTTCAATAAAAACATTATTTATTTTTTTTCTTACAAATATAAATCATTTTGAAATCTTTCTTTTTTCTTATTATTATCTTTTGTTGTTATTTTTAATAATAAATTAAGAAAATATTTTTTTTCTATGTAAACAAAAAAAAAAAAAAAAAGTATAATTATAATGTACTAGATATATTAATAATTCAATTTAGTATATTCAAGTTGATTATGTTTAAAATTGGTATTATGTTAATTCTTTTTTTTTTTTTTTTAAAATAAATATTGAAATACACGAATCATTTTTAATTAATATATATATTTTTTTTAATTATCTTAAGAAAAAAATTAAACTGTAACGTATTATGTAGACTAGGAATGTAAAAAAAAGTAGGATAATAAAATTTTATATATAAATGTTAAATATTAATAGATTTATTTAAAGTTTAAAAGTAATATTAATTCTTTTAATCTACAATTTATTACTTATATTTTTTTTTTTAGACACATTCTTATATTTTTAATTGGGATTTATAATTTAAATAGTATTAAAATTAATTTAATTAATACTTTTTTTATGAAAACTAAATATATAATTATATTACTAAAAGGAAGATTTATATTATAAAAAAAAAAAAAAATAGATTATGTAGATATATATTTGAATGTATCTTTATGCAGATATAAAAATCTAGAAGTATAATTTTTTAATTATAAATAAAAAAATAGTAAAATTTATATTTATATAAAGACCAATTATTTAAATAAATTAGAAGATGAAAATGATTTAAGAATGAAAGTAATATAAAAGTAATATTTAAAAAGTATCATCATAAATAAAATATAAAGAAAAACAAAAGTTTAATTTATTAATTTTATAAATAAATAAGATATTCTTCTTACATTATTATAAAATAATTTATAGACTAATATTTTAGTATTAGTCTTGTTTCATTAGTAAATGCTTTAGTAAAATATTTTTTTTTTTTTTGTAATATAAAAAGAACATTCTTCCATTGATATTTATTCTTAAACATTTTATCATTATACTTTTGTACAATTTTTATATTAGTGCGATAATAGTGCACTCGTTTTTTTATATTTTATATTTTATAAAAATAAGAAAAAAAAAAGTAATGAATTTTATAAAATTCCTACAGGTATTAAAAGAAAGGAAATAAAAGGTAAAAATTTTATAAAAAAAACTAATAAATTCATTTAAATTTAGAAAAAAAAAGTTCACTTTTTTCTTTCATTCTATCTTTATTTTTGAAAATTTATAATAAAAAAATTTTTTAATAGAAATATTGACTATATACCTAATAATGATTTGTTATCAATTATAAACTTTTTTATTAGACAAAAAGAAAAAAAAAAAAAAAAATTAAAAAATCTTAAAATATATATATTAATAAATATAGAAGTATTTAATTATTATTTTTGATTCAATATAAAAGACTACCTATTCTTTAAGTTGTATATTTAGAAATTAAGAATTTTTTAGTTTTTTCTTATATACATCACTTGAAGATTTAAAGTTAATATAATTATAAACTTTATTTTTCTTTTTTTTTTTTTTATTTAAAAGCTAATTTTTCACATTTAAAAAATTAAAAGTTTTTAATTAAAAATTATAGAAGAAAGTAACTTTGTTAAAAAATTTGAAAAATTCAATTTCCATAATACACATCGAGAATTTATATTAATATGAGTTTATTATATTTTTAACATATTAACTTAATATTTAAAAAATATACATAAATTTTTTATTTACTTTTTATTATTTACCTAACCTAGAAAAAATAGTAACAAAAAAAGAAAAATATAAATATTACATAAAACTTTATTAAACACAAAAATATAAAAAAAAATATTTTTGAAAGAAAGATAATTTTCTTTTAGATTATTAATTTAATATTTTAATATGTAATAATGTAAAAAAAAAAAAAAAAAAAATAAAGATAAAGATATATTAATATACTACTATTAAGTGCTCATTTCTTTCTTAAATAGTGTGAATATTATTTTTGATAACATTTTTGTTAATATAGTAATCATTTATAGTAATCAATTATAGGTCAGTTAAAAAATAAATGACACTTTTTTTTTTTTTTTTTTTCTTTAAATTATAAATCCTTTCTATCAGTATTAACATATACTTGGTTATCATAATGTTTTAGTTTTGCATCTTTTAATTATTAATATAAAAATATTTACTTCTATGAATTTATATTTTCTTCTTTTAAAAAAAAAAAAAAATAAAAAGGTATTGATTACAATTATATTATTTTGATAGAAATATATGCATGATAAAACGAATGCAAAAAATAAAAAAAAAAAAAAAAAAAATAATTTAATTTGTTCTAACAAGATTTTGTCTAATCTGATAAAAATAAATTAATAATATATATCTAATTTAGTTAAATTGTTTTTTTTTTTTTTTTTTTTTTTTATTATTATAATGCATCTAAACAAATGATTTAAGAAAAATATTTATATTTTTTTACAAGTAAATAAATATTATATGTGAATAATGATTCAAAAAATTTATCAGAAGAGAATTTTTTTTTTTTTTTTTTTTAAGGGCACTTTCTATTTACATTTTCCAAATATAAATTTTCTTTCATGATGTAATTTATTTTAGTTATCATAAATATATCTCATAATTAATTAACTTTTTTTGATTTTTGTAAATTATGCACAAATTTATTAGATAAAATTATGCGCACTTCAAACCATAAAGATGAAATGAAAATTTAAATATATTTGTAAAAAAATTATTTTATTTTATTTTTTTTTTTTTTTTTGGAAGATTGGAAGTAAATATTTACCATCATTATAATTTAAATATATAACTGTTTTTAAGATTTTGTGAATTTGTATATAATTTTTTTTTTTTTTTTTTTTTAATGTTTTTTTATTATTATTCTTTGTAACACTATAATATTTTTTTTGTTACTTTTTTTGGTATTTTTTTTTTTTTTTTTTTTTT